AAAAAAAAAGGCCTTTTCAGTCTGACACTATAGAGGTCACCAGAGGACATGATCAAAATCCTGAAGAGGCCAGAACTGCTGCATGATGACTTAGCCTGACAAGTGCCTTCAGGTAAGAGACATCTTTGAAACATTAAGTTCTTTATTCCTTTTTTAAAAAATTTTATTTATCTTTATTGTTGAAAGTATTACAGATGTTTTTTATTTTTTAATACTTCTACTTTGTTTATATAACTGCCAGTGATGATGACCAATGCAGGTTCTTTTGGGAAATCTGTTTCTATCAGAGGTTGGGAAAAGCCAAATGGGGGAAGGATAAAAAGCACCTCAATACCCATTACTTACCTTAAGTGATGATGACTTCTGACTTCTAGTCAGACTCACTTTCTCTACTGCCAATGCTAGCAGTGAATTTATACTTGACCAATATCAATTTTTAAAAAAATTGATTTTAGAGAGGGAGGAAGGGAGAGAGGGAGAGGAAGAGAGAGAGATGGAGGGAGAGGGGAGGGAGGGAGAGAGACACATAGATCGGTTGCCTACCATCACACCCTGACCATGGATTGAACCCACTACCTAGGTATGTGCCCTGACCAGAAATCAAACCTGTGACCTTCCAGTGCATAAGACGATGCTCCAACCAACTGAGCCATGCCAACTAGGGCCAACCTCAATTTTTATTAATACAAGTATAGTTCCTGCCCCCTCCATTCTCTAAGGCTTTTTAGCCCCAATGATCTACATATTGGCAACAAACTATTTGCCTACAAGTGGCTATAATTTAATACAATAACCATAATGTAAAAGAACAGATTTCTGACCCCAATTTTAATACAATGAATAGAACTCAAGATCTCATAATAAAGAACTACCTAACATTCACACTAGAGGACAAAACCAGATTTCTATAACAGCAAACCAAAAAGGACCCTCCTAGGCTAATGAGATTACACACATGCAAGTTTTAGCTAAGAAAGTAGTAGACAAGGGACTTCAAAGGCAGCCTAAAAGCTCTGCTTTTGGGGTGGCCTTAGTCATACAGATAGCTAATAAGATCAAACCAGAGTGTGGCTCTGGTCTGAACACAGCTCTCCCAAACAGGGGAGGGTTACCTGATCCATTTAGCATAATGAACAATGTACAAAAGCTATGTAAGTATACAGTACCTTTTCCCCCCACAAATTATTTTTTGAAAACAAGAATTCTGTAAGATTGGGGCCATTTCATCTTACAGAAATGTAATCTACCTGTTACTGGCTTAGCATTAGTGCCATACCTTTCATAGATGTGGTAATACTTCTCATCCTGTATGCCATCTTGAATGGGCACATTCACACTGTAGTACCGTCCCTTCCCTAGGCCAACATCAGATACATCACCTGTTCCTGTAAAAGAGAGAGGCACCATGAACAGTTTTAAGAACATGAGAATTAGAAAAGTTGAAGGATTCTCTGATAGAAATTCAGAAGACCAAAAGGTAGTTAGGAGCACCATCCTGTGATGGTTTTTCTAAGGGAATGAAATTAAAATAATACAGAGAAGTAACTGTTGGAAACAATGTTGGGGAAGTAGAAATATTATAAGAAAATGGAAAAACCTTAGATTCCATCTGGCTAGAAAAAAAAAAGATTAACTCCTGTGCTTGGCTTTCTGTATGTCTGAGTGTGACATAATATTAATTAATTCCAATTATCAGGCTCTTGAGAGTTACATGGGGTATCTGATAGTACAGTAAGTATAAGTGAGCTGTCCAGTGGCATTCTATAAAAGTCATCTGGAGTAAGAAATGGCATCACATTCCTCTTCATTGTCACCTGAAATTACCTATGTTAAAATTTTACATAAAGTAGCACCAATAAGGTATTAATACCATTGAACTATCCAAATATAAAAGAAATGTATAGAAGAACTGTAGTATTTATTCCTCAAATGTAATACTGAGCACACAGATCACTTGCCTGGGAAAAATCCTGGGGAGAATTTGTGCAGGGACACCGTCATGACTTTAGAGGTGAAACTGAAGGCATCTTCTACACCTACCAGAGAAAGAAACAGAAGAATCACTTCATATATGCAACACCTGTATCCAACAACTGAAATTCTAGAAAGCAGCTGTGGAAAGGAAGAGAGACAAGAAGGTAACAATAATAAAGCTAACAAGCTGAGGAATAATGTAACAAAATCCTCTGGTCTTTGATCTCTGCCATTATAGGATGAGGTTCCTTTTCAAATTCATGGCAAATTATAACAGGTCTTCCCATTTCCAAGCAATGGGAAGTCCACGCTCTCTTTGACAACCTGTTCAAAAAGGTGGGGTAGGGCTTAAGCTCAGAATTGAGGCATTATCAACAGAGCTGAACAGAGGAAACTGGCACCATTTGGAAGTTTCACGTTTTGTTTTGCTTCAGTGGTTCTAGTTAGAGTATTAGGATTCAGTACAAAATAAGCACAATGCAGCAACCCTTTTAAAAATGCCACCAGTACAAACATTAGGCATTATATAGTGAAAATCTAATTGTAAACTGCCTCTCTATGATTCAGAATGAATTACAAATGAGGTTCTCCCAAAGTGTGTACTAGGTAACTTACAGTACATCTTTCTGGCTAAAACACAGAAGGCTAAAAGTAGACCTCACCTTGTCTCTTAATAGCAGCTTGGAAATAGATGGGAAAATTTTTCTAAAAAGGAGTCCCCTTTCCATTTAAACAGAGTAAGAAAATGAATAGAGGGCTGGGAGATAGATGATGTAACTGTTATAAGCCACTATTTATTCAAATAAATACACTGCCCACCTCCACACCTTTCCTCCCTAAATCACATATTGTCAGATAATCTCTCTGTAAAATGGACTATTATTAGCAAATTCCTGCACTATACTCTTTCAAACTTCAAATAAATTGTCCCCATGTTTACTTAATGTGCTCAGTCTTCATTAGAGGTAGACAGTGACCTTAAAAAAAAAAAGAACTTTATTTGTATATCACAAGTATGTTTGAATTTCCCAAGCCTTATGTTTTGCCCTAGGGAAGCAGTTAAAACCAGTTAAAGGCTCTAGGTACAAAGCATTCAGTAAACAAAACAAAACAAAACAAAAATTAAAATAGCGTTTTAACTTAGAAATTGATATATAATTATTTATACTTCTAGAAAATTCTGATTATTTATCCACCCAGAAAGGTGGTACCAATTTACACTTCTGTCAGTGGGGTCAGAGAGTTCCCATTTTCACACTCTGACTAGCACTGGATGTTATTATTCTTTTTAATCTTAGGCAGAAACAATGGTCTTGTTCTAATTTGCATTTCTCTGAGTATTAGGGTCTTGAGCACCTTTTCTTATGTTTAGTACCCATTTGTATCTCTTCTCACAGGAAATGCCATTAGGAATTGTAAGAAAATTCTACTTTGCATAGACAGATATGTGGAGAGTATGGGGTTTGGTGTGAATAAGGAGTGGTAGGTAATAGTAAAAAGACGGCGAGGACAGGTATGAGTGCTAGTGAAGCCATCACATAATGTTAGTTATGGAATCATGGGAGATTTAAAATAAACTGAATGTGTAAGAATTTGGAGGTGGGGCAGGGGTCACTGAAAGGGAGGTGCTGAAGAGGGGAAATAAACTGAAATGAAACACACCATAAAAGTTGGCTAAAACAGGAAACTCTAAATGGTGGAGAAATAACACTGCAAATGGAAAAAACGGTTTCAGGTGACAGTCTTATTTCATTCTTATGTGGTTCAAGAGAGTTGATGCTATTCTTAAACTTTGATACTAATAGTTTGAATTTCATAATCATTCATTCATTCAACAAATATTTTACTGAACCTCTACTCTAACATACACATGGTTCTGTTTGTTCAAGCCATTGTTCAGGACAGAAAGAAGTAAACAACTTGATCTGTGTTTTGGATAAACTAAAAGTTTCTATAGGAGGAGAAGACATAGGCAGACTAAAGAATTAACAATATAAGGCAATATATAATTAAATATCAAATCAGTAATATAAACAATTTGGTTGAGCAGGGGAGAGGGCACTTGGGCTGGAGTGGTAAGGGCAAATCTGCTACTGTTGGAATTTGAGCTTCTGGGTAGAACTTGGAGATGCAACAGGGGAGGAGAAAACAAAACTAAGTTAAAAAGAGTGATGCCAAATCAGGGAGGTAGGCACAGTGAGACATGTTTGGTGATCATTGAGTAGAGAAGCCTGCACAGCAAGTTGTAAGAGAGAAGGCTGGAGAGAAGAGGTGAGGTCTCTTTGAGGTAGGCCTCCAAAGACAGGGTAAAGAATGTGGACTTACCAAGAAGACTACTGTTTTTCAAAGTGTGGCCTGTGGAACAACTAGGGTGTTGTTAAAATGTGGATTCCAGGGTTCCATACCAGACCTATTAAATCTGAGTATCTGCTGGATATGGCCCAGGAACCTGCATTTTAACACAAGCTTCCCCAGGTCATCTTGATATACATTTGAATTTGAGAATCATTGCTATAGGCCAAGGGTTAGCAAACCAAGTGGCTACTGGGTAAATAAATATTTTAGGCTTTCCAAACTACATGGTCTCTATTGCATTTTTTCTCTTTACAGCCTTGTAAAACTATAAAAAATCATTCTTGCTAGCCATACAAAAACAAGCCGTGGGCCAAATGTTACCCTTGTTACAGGTGATAAGGAGCCTCAAGGTTTTTGAGCAAGGCTGTGTTTTGCATTGGTGGAGTATTCAGATATTCAGTAAACATTGCTCTCAAAGTAGTATGCTGAGTGTTTTAACCCTTCTCTCTTTTCTCAGTTACCTTTAATTTTCTGTCATCATCGCAAGGTAGCATCTATCTAGGTGAACTCCCTAGGGAGGTTTCTCCCCACAATTTCTTTCTTCTTTATCTGTTTTGGCAGCAGAGCTGAACCTAGTCTCTGTCATATACTGTTTTTTTCTTCTCTTGCTTTGATTAGGTAAGTATGTCTCCAAAAATCCCTAGAAACAGGGAAGTAGCAATCCCTGATATGGGGGTGGGGAGGAAATACCCTTAACTAATTTTACTGGGTCAGTGTTCCTAGAACAGTGGAAATATGTGCCACCCACAGAATTTGTTAAAGAAACAGATTGTGGGTAACTGTCACTGAAGCTCTACATTGTAGATGGAAAGTACACAGAAGGCCTGGATGCATCCTTTCAGTGAAGTCTTCTAAGAAGAAATTAATGAAGTTAAGGCAAATTGTTAATGACTCTGCTGCTATTAAAAGTTAGAGAAGATGTCCTAGGCTTGTTTGTGCAGACGAAATATTTAAGCAACACAAAGAAAGTGGAACAGATTTCGATCACTATGTGAGTTGGTATCCCTATTGGTGAAAAAATTCAGACTGTTTTTTCATCATTTGCCCATTCTGATCTTGAGAGAAGCATCAAAGCTGTCAGCTCTAACTACAGATTTCACTAAGAACATGTGAAAGTGACTTGAGGGAGGTTACTAAACAATGGAGTAAACACTAGGTAAGATTTCCACTTCTTACTGTTCTCTACTAGAGAGCTTTGCTACTGGAGGAGAGAAGAGGGGAAATTACAGGAACCTGGTATTTTAAAGCAGCAGTTTCATCAGGAAAGGAGGAATTGCATCAGTTAGAATCTCTACCTATTTTAGGATTCTCAATTAGGAAACTTTCAATCACAACAGGCATTTCTCCTTTGACCAGCCTCCTAGAAGCAACTTTACTGATAAAAAACGGTTGTCCTAGCAGCGAAGCACCCTTGAAAGTGAAGGGCTTACCATCTCCATGGTGCAGATCCAAATCCACATAGAGAATACGGTCAAATTTCCGTCGCAATCGTAATATTCCCAGGACAACATCATTGAGATAACAAAAACCAGATGCTTCATCTCTGCAAGAAAATAAGTTGCTACAGCCAACAGCCAAAAGCAATCCAAGGGAGTCTTTACAGCCAAGGATCTAACCCTTGAGATCTATTCCCTTACAATTCCCCCTTCTTTTTAGAAAAACAAAAATCTACCTACAAAGATTGTACAGTAAATGCCTCAGAATGATCAGGGAATGAAGAGTTTTGGTAAACTAAGTATTCAGGTTGATTGGTAACATTTTACATTCAGAATCCCAGATTTTCAAAGAATTAGAATGTTATAACTATATTAAAAAAAAAAACCAGAACATTTTTCCAATTATTCAGGAATCATTAAAAAGTTGTAGTACCCTGGAGTCATCATAATGAACACTGGCTATCACTTATAGGACTTTAAGAAAGCTAGAATCTAGAGGGGGCTTTAAAGACAATCTTGCTCAGCCAGATGTAGGAGATGTTGGAGATTGGATTCTCTGTACTGACCCTATGACATAACCTAAAGTTTTATTTTTAGTAAGTCTTGGCACTTGTTGATCATAAAAGCTAAGTATAGAATGTACAAATGTATAATCTCCTGGGCAGCATAATGTGGTTACCTTTCTGTAAATGTAATTATTACAATGAAGACTGAAGCAGCCTCTTCTAAAGTTATTTTGTTTCCTTCACTAAAACTGTCTTCATTGACAATACTGGTGTCCTTTGACTTTTTTGCTATTGGTGATACTGTGTTATTTTAACCTCTTGTAAACATTAACCTACTCATTTATTATGCTTCCATCAAGCCTTGTTGAGTAGATATAAAAGAACATTTTTTATCATCAAAAGTATATTATAATTTATTTTCAGGGCCTCATCCTAAATGCTTCAGTTTATTTTGCTTCCACTGACTTCAAATATCCAGACCATTTTTTTTTTTGTAATTTCTCCCTGATATTTTACTTGAAATGGAATTCTAGGTATGAGCATCATTTAAAATGGTATCTTTACTATTATGAGATTGTAAGATCTTTCTAGTGCTTACACAATGTAAAAACTTCATTAAATCTCTTCTAGTATAATGTTTTATATTCTGAACAATGCCCTGGTTCACAGGCTGAATCAATGAGACAGGTATATTGGTGAGCAGGAAGTTAGTAAAAATATCATTAGACATTGATTTTGCACATAAAGATGAACTCAGTGATCATCTACTAAAAGAATAGCTTCGCCTTAGGTGTGCAACCAGGAAGAAGCCAATTAGAGAAAATGATGTATTCATCTGTGAATTTTCTGTAAATAAGCGTTATATATGTGACTTTGAAAGTTCTTAGATGCTGTTTTCTAATTCTGAAAAGCTTATATCTTGTAAGTCTACTGTCTTAGCACATTAAAAAAGAAATAATTTGTGTTCCTACTGAACATGAGTAACTTTTGGGTAGGTAGAATAGAATATTAAGTGTTAGGCAAAAAGAGGAGGGAGATGAGGAGGAGGAGAAATAGAAATCAATACAAGATATACTTCCGTCCCTCAGAGAACCTATAATTAAGTTGTGGAGATAAGTCATAAGCATGGAAAAACAAGAAACAAAAAGGCAAGCAGAAGTAATATGGCATATAAAGAAGAATACAGAGAAATTCTATAGACAAAATTGACAAAGCAGTCATCTCATTATAGTATTAAACTTTTATGAGCCTTCTAGAAATCATGCAACTAGAAATCAGCAGTGGTTAAGAACCCCCACCCCCTTGCTTTAGTGTTCTGAGAAATGGTTAACTGCAAAGGACCACACTGCTCTGGCATATTCCAAGGGAAGAACCATTGTCATGCTTCCTCATGACTCCTGTAAGGCTCTTGGTTGACTTCCTAGTTTACCTGCCTCTATAAAGCTCCTGGATCCTTTCCTTTTCTTTGAGATGTTCCTCATTAATAAACATTCTCCTTTTGGCAATAGCCTGAATAATAATGATGATGATGTGTGGAATTCAGAAAGGTCATTGTGTGTAATAATATCCTAATATTTTCCTAAATTAATGGAGCTCAATTCTCATTGATTTATAGAAATAAATGCTTAGATAATCAGAATATTCCAATTCCCAGAAAATAACAAAACTGAATTTTCAAGACTTTTAATGTGCTAAAAAAGTACTTCTATAAAAGCAAACTCAGAGAGTGATGTCAGAGAAATGGTAGTGTGAGAGGTTCCCCTTATAGTTACAATCTGAACAGCTATAATTCAACAAAGGATTCCCTGCTCTATACTCCAACACATCTGAGAGATGTGTGCATTAAAACACCTGAGGGTGGGTGAGTCAGCATGAGCATGGGAGAAGGGAAGGGAGAAGAGCAGAGACAGGTGCCACAGATGTAGCAGGGAGCTTGCTGCGGGTCTTGGGAGAGGGGAGGAGTCAGGTTGCCACTGGCACTCTCTTCAGTCCAGAGGAGCAGAGAGATACAGTGAGCATTCTTGCAGGAGTGGGCAGTAGGTGCTATGGATGAACCCAGTGGCCTGGGCACAGACAGAGCGCAGGAGTGAGGTCACAACTGTCTGGCAGCTATCATTTCCAGGCACAGAAACAAAACCATGGAGCCTGGCTCCCTTGCCTCACCTTCCCACAGCTCCCCTCTCCCTACACTCCCAGAGCTAGCAGCAGACCTCAGAAGAAGCGGTAACAGTCATTGTAGGCCTACAGAGCACATTATCTGCAGCCCTGAAAGCTGAAGAGGCAGAAGTATTTTTCCCTGAGTGTCAGGGAGGCACACTGTAGCTAATCCAAGTGAAGGGTGAAGATAGAGAGGTGCGGCAGCTGAGGTCTGGCAGTTGCCACTACTAGGAGAACAAAGCTACAAAGGAACCAGCTGGCCTCTCCCAGCTCATCCCACCCCCACCCATCATGGCTGTACTGCTGGAAGAGTCTGGTTGCAGACGACAGTGCTGGGATTTCACAGGCTCAGAACCCCATCACCCACANAGGAGTGGTGCTGAGACTGCAGTGACCTGGTCACAGAGGAGACACCTATCTCCCTAAAGAATACAGATATTTTCTACCACTCCACAAAGATCCAGAGCCAAAGTAGTGTAAGAGAAACTAGGAAACTTGCACTTCAGAGCCACCTACTGGAAAAACAAAAGAAAGACTTTTAAAAAATATATATGTTTTTATTGATTTCAGAGAGAGGAAGGGAGAGGGAGAGAGAGAGAGGAAGAGAGAGAGAGAGAGGGAGGGAGAGAGAGGGAGGGAGGGAGAGAGAGAGAGAGAGAGAGAGAAATGTGAATGATGAGAGAGAGTCATTGATCGGCTGCAAGCCTGTGACCCAGGCATGTGCCCTGACCAGGAATTGAACTGTGACCTCCTGGTTCATAGGTTGACACTCAATCACTGAGCCATGCTGGCCAGGTAAGAAAGACTTCTTACCAAATAGAGAAATGCCACTCTTTAAATGAAAAAAAATAAAAAAAATAATAAATAAAAGCAGGTTTCATTTTCATATATGCTTAGCAGAGAAATAATCCATCAAATTCCATGAATAAGCATGGTAATGAGGCAGCTCAAAAAGAAAATTTAAAATCTCCAGAAAAATAAACTTAAAGACATGGAAATAGGTGATTGACATGATAGAGAATTCAAGATTACAGTTGTGAAAACTCAACAAGGTACAAGAAAACACAAATAGGCAGTTTAATGAACTCAGAAATAAACATCAATGAAGAAAAGGAGAACTTTACCAAAGAGACTGAAACCTTAAAAAATGAACCAAACAGGAATTCTGGAGGTGAAGAACTCAAGAAAAGAAACGAAGAGTAAAGTAGCGAGCTTAGGAAGTAAACCTGACCAGATGAAGGAAAGAATTAGTGATATTGAAGATACAAACCTAAAAATAATACAGAGGGAAGAAAAGACTTGAGAGTTTAAAAAAACAACAACGAAGAACTCTATGAAAACTATCTGACTAACAAATAGCTGATGAGAACTTCCTAAACCTATGGAAAGAACTAAATCTTTGAATCCAAGAAGCAAATAGAACACCTGATTATCTCAATCCAAAAAGCCCTCCTCCAAGACACATTATATTAAAACTGTAAAAAATAAATGACAGAAAAAAATTTCTCAAGGCAGCCCAGGAGAAGAAGATAGTAACATATAAAAAAATCTCATTATATTATCATCAAATTTTTCGGCAGAAACTCTACAAGCTAGGAGACAGTGGAATCAAATATTCAAACTATTAAAAGAGAAATTACAAGCCAAGAATAATATATCCAGCAAAGTCATACTTTAGATATGAAAGAGAAATAAAGGCTTTTCCAGACATACAGAAGCTGAGGGAATTTACCAACACAAGACCTCCATTACAGAAAATACTCAAGGGGGTTAGTATGCCTGAAACAAAAAAACAAAAGGATATAAAACTATGAGTAAAATGACTAACAGACAGATAGAAGCAGACTATTGCAACTCTTTTTTCAGAACAGGGTATTATAAATTAAAATATACATAAAGGTATAAGGAGGTAAAAAACATTAAAAAGAGATGACAATAGCTACTGCAATTTGGAAATGAACTCACAGCATAAATAGGAATAATTTGTGACTACAAAAACATAAAAGGAGGGGCAGGGGGTCTAAACTTGCAAAGGTGAATGGAGATAAGATGCATTCAGAAGAAAAAGTACTACTGTATATATAAAATATTCTTTTGCATATACCTAATGGTAACCACACACACACAAAACAAAACAAAAATAGACTAAATTACAGAATCATCATCCTGAACAAACAACTGAATGCTAACTGAAGAGAAGTCTAATAACCAAGGATTTACAAAAGCCACATCAAGACTGGTTGCCGAGGGCCAGTCACAGGCAGCGTCTTACACTGGCCTGCATTAGAGTCGCTCCCAAGAGGCCCAGAACCAACACACCCAGTGGCCAGCTTCAAACAACATCAGAGCAGGATCCAATAAGCTTCATAAGCAGCATATGCAAAGGGAGATCTCAGCTGCTGAGGTGAATTCTGTTTTGTGTCGTCAGCACCCGCAAAGCAGCT